TTGCAAACAGTAGAGACAGAGATATTCCATATCCATTTGGAATGCATTAAGTTATCGAAAGCCATGTATAGGATGCATATTCGTAATGCTTTTCGACTTACAATAAGATAGGCGATGACCTTCCAAGCTCGGAATGAATGCTCATTAGGATTGGCTGCCCTGAGTAGAAATGATGCTATGATCAACACCACTATCACTAGGGCACATGAGAACTGGACCTCGTTTACGAATCCAGATGTAAGCCATGATTCGGAATACCTCATTCGCATCTGGACAAGCCATCGCTTCCTGAAACCTTAGCCTGGTGTTATCAAAAGTGGTAATTGAATCAACCGAAGCGAGGCTCGTTTCTGCACCAATTCCAACCCGCTGGATAGAGTCAGAAGGGCTCTATGATCCTCAACTTTGACCTTTCCCTTGGGATAGTGGAGCACAAGCTAGACCGTATCCGAGGTTTGACAGCTTTAGTTTGACCGGACCGCCATCCCCGGCCCGCCCCAGTCTAGTGGCTTGGTGGGGACCAGCCGGGTCGAGTCTGGGCCTCAGGGTCTTAGCGAGATTGGACATGGGACCAAAGGGGATACTCCACAGTTTAGGAAAGAGCCATCGTCGGGCGATGATTGGCCGCCGTCAAAAGTACAAGCGCGAATGGCACTTCCCTGCCAGTCCTAAAAGGGATACGACATCGTTGTCTGGGTCCTTTCCTACGGGTCCCGGCTTCGGCCACAAAAACGCCTCGATAAAGAGGGGGGACGCTAGATGACGCAATGCCAGTGTTTCTCGGTTCGATCGTGCTCGATCGATGCGCATAATTGATCGATCGTGCGTGCGGAGGCCCGGATTCGTGCAATAGACCTGCACTAGTCATGTGCGATTTTGGTCCGTCCCGAAGATCAAAATAGGGTGCCGGTTTGATAGGCCCTGACGTGCCTCTAATACGAGGATATTTTAGCGAATGCAGCTATCTCTTGCCCGACTAGGAAACACACTCTTTTCATGCGTGCAGGTTGCTTCTCAACGGTATCTTTGACATAGCACACCGATCATGCAGCCTCGAAACGATATTGCTGATACTTGAACAGAGTCATATTCTGTATACTCCCCCTTTTTCCCCTCCGATCGCTTAGTTCTATACTCCGTACTATTGGATCATGAGATTTGAAGGAAACTATACATGAAGCAGTTTTTAGTTTCTCAAGCATGAAAGAAGGCGTTTAGGAGTTCCTTTGTATATTTTGTTTGTATATCTGTACTACACTCATGGCGGTGAAATAACCTAAAGACACACCCTAGTCCCTGTAATCAGCCCGGGAGTTTCTCTAGCGTTCCAGAAATGTGCGACGGACACATACATGAAGTCGTTTGGCTAGATCGACAATCCCTAACCCCGACCAACCCATACCAACCCCGTGTGATTTGTTGCAGTTCTCCCCAATATTTTGAATTGGACCCCACCCAGTTATTTCCTTCCCGTCAATGCACACCCGCTGTCACAATCCGCCGAGTCCGGGCCAAAGTCCACGCCTCATTTTGAGGTTTCAGGGTAATTGCATCACCGAACAACTCCGCTCTAACTCTTTTTTTGTACTTCGTAGTGTAAGCGGTAATAGCGTTGATAAAATGTGGTTCTGAAACTAGTGTGATGAGGAATTAGAAATGCCAAGCTGTCAAACTTGGTGACGTTTTTGTCTGGGGACAAAACTCTTACCTCGATTAAGGTCCAGGGAACATCCATGAAGGCTTCTTTCCTGTTTAGTCACAGCCAAACAGTGCAAACATTTTGCCTCCCAGTTTCCACCGTGGACCTGCCATGTCCCTGTGGCAGTGCCCAAAATAGGCGAGCCACGTTGTGTGGCTGGTCTGAGCTTCGGCTAAGGTAAATTGGTAAATTGTAGGGATCACCAGTTACGCGACCCAATGAGAAGCTTTCGTTTAGAAGTGTCAAATCTTTGATGGTCACTGACATAATTGTTTAAAGAAAAGGGGGGTGCATCTGGAATCTAGACCTCCAAGACATTGAAATTGAATATTGAAATTCGGAGTTTCGAGGTAGTCCGTAGTCCGTACATACGGAGTACCCGTGATTTCAAATGCGACTAGGGCTTTATTATTTATTTATTTTTTACTGTCAGACTGTCATAGAGTGTGTTGTAGTGAAAAATGAACTTCCAGGGTTGATTAAAAAGACCACGGCTAAACGCCTTGCTGGGAACAGGGAATGGGCACAAACAAAGAGATATACTATCCGGGGATGTTATCGCTGAAGCCGCAGGTTTTTTAGATACTGGATCGAGTATGGGAGTATGCCTAGTTTCCGTTTTTGCGCCCTCAAAGAATGACAAATAACGTATAGAGTAACTACTCCGTGATCACCGTTTTTCTAGAACTGTTTAGTTCAACGATATTGCTTTGTTCTATGCCTCGCGGTAACCTAAAAAAGATGGGTTTCCGAAGGCACTGCGGCTCTATTGCTGTACGTACTACGGAGTAGACGGCACGGCAATTGAATGCCATGTATGTACGGAGTTTCAATGAGATCGATCAGATCGATACAATCCTCGTACGCAATCAGATTGGAGTTGTTTGTGCTAGAAAAATTCTGCCTCTTGCATCTTCCCCGATAAAGGACCGAGGAAGTATATGTTCCCCTTTTACCATGTCAAGATAGCAAACAGATATAGTGTTTTAGATTCTCCTCTTTTTTAGGTAGCCCTGATCGAGTTGGGTATCCATCTTCTTTGTGTGGTTTCAAGACCTATAGTGTAAGTTGTAGCGTTATCCCAAGAAACGCCAGTCTAATCCACCGGGACGGGAGATGGACGCGTTGACAGAATCCTGGGTTACCGAGTTTCCCCTTCCCCTGGACTCTTAGCACAGACCCGGGCGGAGAGCCAGGAAGTCTGCTGATTGGTCTGTCACAAAATGGGTCGGACGTCAAAAATACCGCCACTAACCCGCCATGGGATAGTTCGTCGAACTATTTTGCAACCAATTTTCTTCCCCGGGGGAAAGAAATAGTAGATCACGCCGTGGTGTTGGGATTTCAAACACTACATTATCTCGATCTGTTCTAGGTCGGATTTTGAATTTATTATAGCTTATCCTCGCGGATAAAACGGCGTAGGCGAGCTACGGTCCGTATTACCACCGTACTTTTTGATTTCCCCTTTCCCTTCGATTGAAATGACGGATTTGATTAAGATTGATTTAGATCGATTTGGCGAGATTTGAGGTCTGATCTCAGGGGGCTTTTAAGCTATGGATTTTAGGTGCTATACTCAGCTGAAGCCAAGGTCTTCGATTCCAGAAACCCACTGTGTTTGGCTTGCCACCCCGGAGTACGGAGTAGGTATCTGTCAATGAACGGAGATCGACAGCAGCAACAAGCCCCAGACGGCAATGAAAAGGAAACAGTGACATATTATCGGCGAGTCATCTCCCAGGATCCAGGATGATGGGCCATGCACAAGCCGGATCTTGATAGGTTCACCAAGAATGGGGAAAGTGTGGATTCGTTCACATGGTTGGCTGCTAGTGTCGGGGCACTTTGGTGCTGAGATCCGAAGATCGAGAAACACAAAAAGAAAATGTTATAGATAAATTCCAGTCACAAGTAATGAGTAATAAGTAATATAATGTAATATGGCGGAATAATATAGGCATCATTATACACTTTTGGCCCTCTATCAACATCGATGACGAATTACTTATCGAACCGGAGCCTCCGAAAGGTCTGTAATCTGCACATTAAGAATAGCACCCACGGCGTCAAATAGGGCCTGTGCGTCTCCCCAACGGGGGCATTTGGGTGTGCCTGACAGCTAGACGCGAGTGCTTAGGGCTAATTGTGTCGTGTTCGCTATGATGGACATATCTGCGTTGCTAAGGTCTAGGCCAACGGTTGCCTCGTATGCCAATCGTAACTGACTGCGCGATCTGATCCCCTCGGTTTTGAGTCTTCCAACTGACAGCAAGCCATGAAGCCTGGGTTGTGGGGGGTTGGTCGATCGATAATGAGCGCCACTCTTGGGGTTTGTCCCGACTGGAATTTAATGGAATTTCCTCCGTAATGGAATTAATATGAGTTTAAATAATATAATATAATATTCAAATATATATAAAAAATATATAATTCTAAATAAATTAAATCAAATTAATATGCGATCTACAAATAGTGGGACAGGGATCCTGGATCGGGTCCCCAAGTCTAAGCTACTGCAAGTCCTTTGAATGCGCCAATCTGCATACGATCAGAGACGGATTTGGCCTTCTAGGATCATCCATGTTGAATTGCTAGTCGATTTTGGATCGTCCTTTTGTCATACAGTCTAGAACTGAAAAAGGCTTGCATATCCCCTTCTTATCCTTCTGGATTTCTATACACCCTCAGCTTTATTTAAAAGATCATCCCACTTGCGCATCTTCTTTTTAAGATATTTCATTCTCGACTGCTCCAACCTCCGGTCTCACATCTCTCACATACTTGGGAACACAAAAGTGGAGGCTGCCTTTCGTTCCTGCATCCCGGTTACAAACAGTCACTGTGCTGCAGTTATCCGCTTTCCATCCCCATTGAGACGCCTGCACATTGTTACCCTTGAACAGTGTGAGTACATCCCAGCAAGTTGCTTCTGGCTCTGTTTGCAAGAGCTTGATTGGACGCCGGTGGCCAGATTGCCAGCGTTTGTCCTACCGGTTCCCGCGCCGGAGCGAAGATGGCTCTTCCGCCGTTGGGTCGTTCATGAACACCCTCTGCCGGGGACGGACTGGTGCTGCCGAAGATGCTTCGAGGCAGTTGGCTGACTGAATCTCCACAGTACTAGCCTTTCTTCGCACTAAATCGCAACCCCGCCACCCGAGCAACAATATCTATAAAGAGAACAGTTCTCTCCGGGGCAAACCCACATCATTCTCATTCTCTAGTATCCCGATACACTATTTTGACTGAGACTCAATTACCTTTCTCAAGACGATTTCGTCCAGCACCTGTTTCTGCTACTATGGTTTACAATAAACCAACAAGCGGAGCCATGAAGAGATCTGCTTCGGCTCTCGATGGACCCCCAGGATGGGGAGACGTTCCTGTATGTGTTCCCTCAAGAGAAACACAGTTTCATCCTTACTGATATCCGTTTAGTCCATGATGACCAACTCCCGTTCATCATTCCGTCCTCCTTATACTCACTTTGCCATGATCTACCTCGACCGTGATGGCAAGCTCAATGTTGAGGAATCACCTTCTATTCAAGAGCAGAACTCCACTGTGTTCACCGCAGAGGTCCGCCAGAACTTCCTCGAGATTCTGAGTGAACGCATCGGCTACCATGCCCCTCGCCGTATGTCCAAGTCCAGACCCGAAGACCAACCAGTATATGCTGATACCAATCTACAGAGATAATGGACGTATCTCCTCGTCGAGTGAGACGTCGCAAGGGCAATGCTCCTGCTCTTTCTGTTTGTGACAACCGCCTAGCTGATCAGGACACTGATAGCGAGGACATGCCTAACGGGTCTACTGAAATGGTTCCCCTCCGCATTGGAGACTCTCAAAAGGTCATGGCCTACTATGAAGGTGCCCTCAAGCACTTCCAACAACTGAACTGCCGTATGGTTGCCAAGGCGTTCATCAAATTTATCGAGCCTCGCAAGCAGGTCCGACACCCTTACAATGGTGGCAAGGCCCCGCCAGGATCTGCCCCCGGTACTACCGGTGACCCAGAAAAGACCAAGCCCGAGTGGTGGCCCCCCGGTGTTATGCACAAGGAGCCTGACCACCTGAGAAAAGAATGTATGATTTACCTACGGTCTTGATTCTTGATCTACTTGCTAACTGAACTTTAATAGACCGCATTGAGCTCTTGCTTCACATTATCCGCAAGCTCGGTGCTTTCGGTATCACTGCCGATAAGCTTAAGGATGTTGCTGGCGACACCAAGCGAAGCTTGAAGCACGTATCTCATGTCGAGATCATCTACGAGATCCTCCGGGTCCGCAAGATGGAGGAGCGGTTCGAACGAGGTGAAGTCGATGCCAGCATGGTCGTCTACACCATGAACCGCGGCCCTAGCCCTAAGAGTGATGAAGAAGACGATTCCCCCTCAGTGACCATTGAGGAGCCTGAGCACCTCAACCAAGGATTCATGACCCCCATCTCATCATTCGAGCACACATCTACCTCCTTAGCCACACCCATCGACAACATGCCATCGGCCCGCTCCCTCCCAGGCAGCTTCTCCATGACGGAGCCTCTCACCTTCGAAAACCCCGCCCGCCAGGACCGCCCCTACTACGCCACACCTCCCCAATACAGCGATTCATACTCGCAGCCCATGATGAGCACCCCCGTGACATCAGAGATGATCAGCCCCCACGACGTCTCAGTCTCGGCCTTCGACTACTCTCATAACACCTACCAAAACTCCACGCCTGATCACTCACGCGGGGGAATGAGCGGCCACTACGATACCTGGACCCCATCTTTCCGCCAGAACATCTTCAGCCCTGTCGACTACACTACACCAGCGACTAGCCAGGGTATGGCCCAGCCTTCAATGTCCTACCAGATGCCCATGGTCTCGCACATGCATGACATGTCCCACCACCATGCCCAGCAGGCCCACATGGACTCCATGCACCAAAGATCCCTGCCTTTCCGCACGGGATCGCTGGGTCACCCACACCCCAACGGGATGACTCTCTCCCACACTGTCTAAGTGGAACGGGTGACTGGAGGATGGCGATTAAATGGGACATGGGTATGGGTATGGATATGGGTATGGGTATGGGTATTAACGAACGTGAATGAGTGATGGCACTGGCCAACAAACTTGGCGCTCATCTTAAGGCCTTGCCAGGGGAGTTGTTGTCTTTCTTTGGGATTTATTGGATAAAAAAACTTGGTGTCCTCTTGACAGGTGCAGGTACAAATGGGTTCTGTTTGCTTCTTCGTTTTGGAAATATTTGGGTCTTGTGATTTGAAGTGATTGATATTCCGGTCTTTGTTTTTATCTTTCTTCTTTTGGTCTCGCCTTTTTTTCTCACCTTTTTTTTCTTTCTTGGTGTTAGCCTCATGCTTTTTTTCCCTTGGTCTTCTGTTGAGCTTTTTATCTGCTTTGTTTGGTTTTTATGGGTTTTCTTCAACGCGGATGGTTGGAGCTGTTGATACACAGATTTGGGTAGATACTTCAAAATTTTATTCGTTGGTAATATGCAACTGAGCTCCTCTATTTCTTTTCACGATCTTTTCATTAGATACCAGTATTCAACTATGTTGTACCTATATAGTTGATTTCCTCTGCCACTTCTTGGCGTGCTCTTTCCGTATTAGTGCTCCTTATTATTATGTTAGCCAAATGACTCCTCTCTGAGTTCCTCATTCTCTGTTCCTGGCAGTCTAAGGCGGGCACGTTGCTGCTTCACCTGACTGTCTGTTGGGCGCGAACTTGAGGCTAGCAGTGAAAGACCACTAACTGAGAGTAAATTGCTGATGTTCGTGCTGCCATCTTGCGATAATGAACGCCTGTCTCTCCTAGATCCCGTATGAGCTTTTCAATTGTTTCTGCCCTCCTACTTGCATGCAAGATGTTGCCAATTGCTGCATGTAACTCCAAGTGAACCGCTCCAGGGAGATCAACGCGCGGGTATTGATTTGTCAATGAAAGTAGCCTGTCCTTTGGCAATGAAAATTCACAGACAGATGAGAAGCGCGGGAAAGTTCTGATGTGATATTGATGAGGGGTCGAAGTGGCCTCAAGAACAAAGTGGAAGCGACCGAACTCGCCATAGAAGGGTTCGACCATCATCATAATATTATCCTCGCGATTCACAGCTTCGGATGGCATGTCAAATGTAGACCGGAGACTCGGAAAATAGCGAAAGATTTGTGTCCATATCTCAGAGATTCGGCGCTGTTCATCATCAGTGTCAAAGCTCCCAAGAGCAAAAGGGATAATGTGGACAGCCTGTAAGGTTCCTTTTGGTTGGCCGGGGGGAAAATTGTGGTCAGAGCTCCAATGCTTGGTGATGGTGCATTGATAGCCGTCTCTCTTCAAACAGTCCCGGCGGAGGCATACTTGTTCATTTCGAGTCGCTGATGTGATGTCGCGAGAGTGGAGGTCTTCGACCGAATCTTCAAAAGCGAGGCGGGGGGATGGGGTGATGGCGGGGGTCTTCCCGCCCTGGGATAGCAACGGCCGCAACAGGCCTGTATCGATGCTGTTGGCAAGCTGCCGGATTTCGTCGTTGTCGTTGCAGCCGCACACATCATCAGATAAATTCGCCTGCCCCTCGAGGGGGAAGTAGGCAAAACAGACCTCAAGGAACCTTTTCGTGTCGTCGGTATGATCTTCGGGATCTGACGACTCGTAGTTTGCAAGCGCGGCATCGAGGGATAATTTGGCCTCGGCAAAGGTGGAGAATCCAGTTGATGAAACAGCAGGGCTGAGAGTCTCATCTGACTGCGACATTGCAAACAAGAGGCTGGAAAGGTAAAAGGAAACGAGTGGTACAGCGGTTCATAACATTCAACCTGCCGTAACCCTTTCTGCCGCCTGCGTCACCTAGTTAGAGTTATCAAAAGTTACTTCACAAAATAAACAGAATTATAGGGCCGAGTGCTCTCTTTGAATAGACTAAGCGTAAACTGAGTGCACAATAGATACCTTCGACAAATCTCTAAGTAAATAAGCATACTCACCGAGTCACGTGATTATTGCGGAGCGAAGCGTAGCAATTAAATCATAACCTCGTGTGCATGTCACGTGAACGTTCTTTTCTTGTTTCAATGCGGTGAAGAAGTCATCGGCTAACTTTGGCAGAATAATCCAACCGGCAGAATAAATATAGACTAGGCCTAATCTGGCTAGACGATAATTTCTATTACGTGCTGTAGGTTACTTACTAGAGCAGTTACTAGAGCAGTTGCTCAAGCGGTCATTAAGCGATTGCTTAAATGGTTAGTTACTTAAACAGTTACTTGAACGTTTACTTAAGCGGTTGCTCAAGCGGTTTCTCGAGCGGTTTCTCGAGCGGTTTCTCAAGCGGTTGCTTAAGCAGTTGCTAAAGTAATTGACGATAAAGCAGTTTGATTAAGTAGTTAATAATGATATGATAAAAGGGACTTAATTTTATTAGTAGTTTACATATAAATTGAAAGTACCTGCTATCTTAAAAGTTACTACTACCATAGCAGGAAATATGCCTAATTGTGAAGGCGGTACTGAAATTACAGGCATGGCAGAGAATAAGCTAGTAAGAGGGGGCTTTGCGTAGCATTAGAAGTTGGAATAAGTCGCTTCGCTCTGCAACGACTATCAAGATGGGCAAGCCCCATACGTAGAGAAACCTGACCTGGTCGAGGTTTTACCTATAAGTGTCGGTCTTGTACTTATTGGACTATAGGACTCTTTTTTAGTTTCATATATTAGATTCTGTTTCTTACTTCCTTTCCAAAACTGTTTTGTATCTATTAAATTATCATTTTTTCCTCCGTACTTGTCTTCGAGTTCGAATCCCTCCTGACGCTCCATATGTTGCACAATATCTGCCCTCGGTGGATATATTGATATCTGCTGATATACTAATATCATCTTGTCAATATACCTATTGTTACTTCAGTCTAATTGGCCCTGGAATAAAGACTTCAGCCGCGGCCAATTCGACGCGCCAGCCGAGACCAGCGCTTGGTCAGCGGAGTAAGCGGAGCCACTCCGCTCAGCTTGAAGCTCCGCGACCAGGGAAACTTGCATTTCCATCCTCTTCAATCGCTTTGTGCTCAGTACGTGCTTGACTTCCGCTCTTTATTCTCATGCAGGTCTCATTTTGTGGCTGATTAACTGGTGTCGCCTTTCTAGTTCACGCCACGAGCGCAAACTCCGACGCGCACGCTTCACGAGCTTGAACACCTAATTAATCGCAAATACCGAAGGCGACAGCCCTGAGGTCCCTTGCACATCCTGCCGAAGGGAAAAGACTCGTGAGTTTACTGACAGGTAGCGCGAATACCTATCCCCGAGTCTCTTCAAGTCTCCTTGCGGCTTTGTAACATGGGCTGACTTCTTTGTTGTCGCCTCGGCGCACTAATTCCAGCGAACAGCAAACTTTTCAGATCTTCGCGCAATCGACTTTGCATCTATTTCATCTCGGAATTATTGACCCCCAAAACCCGAAATCGACTTGACCATAGAGCGAGCGGTGGGGCTGTTTCAAGAGGTGGCGGCCTATCCAGTTGAATCCGCTCTTTGCGGGCAGGATGGCTAGCCCGTTTAATCCGTCTGCAGGCCGTGGCAGGGGAGGCGCGCCGGGCGTGCCAGGCTCAACGGGACGGGGAAGAGGTGGACATACGGCGACATATGTACCGAGAGGTTCAAGTGCGCCTCGCGCAACGAGGGCTCGAGGGCGTGGACGAGGGTCGGTGACATGGACAGCGCGTGGCCGTGGTCGCGGCGCAGGCGCTGTGAACCACACCGCAAATGGATCCCAGCAACCTGCAGAGGGCCTCAACCCTGGTGTTGTCAGCTCACCGTTTGCGCAATCAAATCAGCAAAAATCCGTCGCATCGCCGTTCGGCGCTCAGCCTGCACAGCAGTCTCCGTTTTCTAGAGTCTCAAACAGTGCTTCGGCTTCGAACGTCGCCAAGAACCCATTCGCCCAACCTATGAACACTACGAAACAACAATCATCGAAATTTGTTGGCGGGGGATCTAATGTTGCCGCGGCCATGGAGCATGCATCGACGTTGAACAATTACCAGGAACGCTTTGACAAAGTCAGTCTGCCCTTCCTCGAAACCGGACGACACGACCACGGAGCTAACCCAATCTGCAGCTGAAAATCGATCAAGTAAGACAGCGTGAACGAGCGATCAAGGATGGGCAAATGGCGGACCCGAATCAGCCGACTTCTTTAAACCAGGCTATCACACCCGTGGGTACCTGTACCGGCATGTGCCCTGATTTCGAGAGGGTGGAGCGGATCGTGCAGAAAGCAGTGGACAAGTGTGAAAAGGTAATGGTGCGCTGATCTCTGTCTTTGGCGCCACACTGACGCGATTTAGTATCATAATCCGTCAACGGACCAGCTGGAAATCATGGAAACCAAGATGGTGAAACGCTTCCGACGTGCGGCAGCTGGAAATGACGAGCAATTGCCCTCGGATATCCGAACACCAAAGACACTTTTGCAAACTATGAACTATCTCATCCGTTATGTGATCAATGGTGGTGAACCGTTGGCTGTCGTCCACATGTTTGTCTGGAACCGGACACGATCAATCCGAAACGACTTCTCAGTGCAGCAACTTACACATGAAGAAGATGTGAAGATGGCGGTCATTTGTCTAGAAAGGATTGCCCGATTCCATATCGTGTCCCTGCATCTTCTTTCTAGTCCAGCGAACACAGAGCAGTTCGACCGTCACCAGGAGCGTGAGCAGCTCAACAACACCATGCTCTCTCTCATGTACTACTACGATGACAACCGCGGACGCATTCACTTCCCCAACGAGGACGAGTTCCGCGCCTACCACATCTTGTTCTCGATCCATGACCAGCGGCCTGACCTGGAAGCCCGTGTTCAGAGATGGCCAACTGCCCTACTCGCTTCACCTCGAGTGCAGGTGGCATTGGAACTATTTGCCGCTGCATGTAATACATGGGAGCCTCAAGGTGCCCTGGATTCTCGCCGACCGAACGCAATTGCTCAGGGATTCTACACTCGCTTCTTCAACATCATCAATTCCCCGAGTGTGTCATATCTGATGGCATGTGTGGCTGAGGTGTACTTCAACCACATTCGTCAGACAGCAATCCGTGCAATCTGGAAAGCTTACTGCCGGACTCCACTATCACAGCAATCCAAAAACGATAATTGGACTGTGGAGGAATTAACCAAGGTGATGCACTTTGATGACGACCAGCAGACAATTGAATATTGCAATGCCCAGGGCTTGCAGTTCGTGGAGAATGCGAGTGGTGGACTGTATCTCTATTGGGGTGATCGACCAGTTGACTCTGTCGGTAAGTGGTCTTAAACTCCATCTCGAATCTCGTCTCTCATTTCCCACCTCACCCTCTCCGTCGCGCCTGTTTATGATAGCTTCCATCGTATTTCTTCCTCTATCTTTCTTTCGTGACTAACAATCTCCCAGACTTTGCACCTTCATCTGACCACTCTTTCTCTGAAACATACGTGGAGTCCAAGCGCGCAGGACGTACTCTTGTTGCGGTTATACTCGGCATGAACATCAGAGAAGCCGCAAGAATGGGTATGATTGATCGTTCCCAGTTGCCTCATAAGAGTGAAACCTTGCCCGAGGCTGAGGCAGAAGATGGGGATCTCTTCGTGAGTGATATTGACAATCGGACACCCGCACCTGTGGTTGAAACACACAACACCATTCAGGACACATCTGCTTCTGAATTCCGGATCGCTTCTGAGTCTCAGAAATGTCTACAATCTACTCCTGCAAGTTCGCCTTCACTGTTCCAGTCAAATCTACCACCCGCCGCTTCAAAGTCGCCAAATCCTTTCGGCATCTTTCAGCCATCAAAAACAGCATCTCCTCCCTCGAATCCATTCGCAACCTCGATCCCCTCCACCACTGTTACACCCTCAGCGCCGTCTCCTTTCGCTTCTTTGCCAAATCCATTCTCGTTCCCGAAACCCGAGAAGACCGACGCCTCTTCCCTGACCACTAATGTGGCACCCTCACCTTTTCAGACAAAACCCCCTCCTCAGACCGACTCCGCCGATAAGCCAGCTGTTTCGTCTATTGGCTCTGCCGGACCCTCACCGTCACCTTTCGCCTCTACTTCTTCTTCGTCCATATTCTCAAAGCCAGCGTACGCAAAGCCCAAGACAGAGACAGCTACAACAACTCCACCCGTGCCTGAATTTCCAAAGCCCATTTTCTTCCCTCCCGCATCGTCGACTGCAGACAAACCCGCCTCCGTGTTCCAGAATGGCTCCGGTTCTGTACTACCCTCTGGCCCGAATCCTTTCGCTGCGCGGTCTCCATTCTCCTTCTCCGAGCCATCAGAGTCAACCCAAAAGACAGAGGCTCCTGCAACTATTCCTGCGCAGTCTACGCTGTTCAAGCCCAGCACTTTGCCTCAAGAGCCGCCGACTGGGGACAAACCCGCCTCCATATTCTCTTCTGGCGCCAGCGCTTTCACTGCGTCGTCCCCATTCTCCTTCCCCAAGCCATCAGAGCCAAGTCAGAAGACGGAGACACCGGCGGCAGTTACTACCGCACCCTCTACGTTATTCAAGCCCATAAGCTCGCCTCCTGCGTCGTTGACTGAACCTAAGAACCCCTTCGCGTCTTCGATATTCTCTGGTGCCAATTCCTTCGGTCCCACAAACACCCCTGCTGCTCCATCGCTATTCCAAGGCATCAAACCCCAAGAGACAGCTGTCAAAACCAAGGAACCTGCAACTGCGCCCAATTTCGGGCAGCCCTTCTCGCCATTCTCGGTGAACAATGCTAGTACGATTTCAGGGTCCCCGAACGCGGCTGCAAACCAATTTCCAGTCCCTGGCTCAATCTTTGCGGCTCCAAAGGCAACACAGCCAAGCCAGAAAGCGGATATCCCAGCTACTGCGCCCACACCAGAGAACCAGCCATCAGGGTTTTCCCCGTCTTTGGGTAGTTTACAGTCGCCCAAGCCGAGTGAGACTTCGGTGTTCAGTCACTCCGCACCTGCGCCGGCCCAAGTACCTGGCGCACATCTTATCAACGGCCACGCTTCGATTTCGGGTTCTCGTCGGTCTGTCTCGCAAACTCAGGCGACCGCCTATTCACCTCCCCAGACTCTTTTTGAAGCACTTCGACAGCCTAAAATATTTGACACCACATCGAATGAATACTCGTCTGAAACGGCGACTACTCAACCAACACCTTTGTTCCAAACCTCAGAGCACTCAGTGGTGCCAGGACAGCAAGGGTCACTGAAACGACAGCATGAGGCCAGCAATGCAAATGTGTCCCCTCAGCACAAGAGGCGCTCCTCGCTGAAAGGAAAAGCCCCTGAGGCAGCGTCTGATGGATCATTCAGACGGTCGGTGCATTTCGAAGAGGCACACGAAAATGAAAAGCCTCTGGCGCCGGAATCGCAAGGGCGCAAGAAGTCTAAAGTCCTCCAAAAGAAGCGAGTGCTGGATGAGCAGATTGAGCCCCAGCCGGAGGAACAGGGTCCGAGTACTAAGGTGTCCAAGGTTTCTACAGAGGAAGAGCATGTCCCTTTCAATTTCTCGGTCTACAAAGCAGAAAACCGCCCCATGCCGAAGCTTCCGATACTGGAAAAGCTAGAAGAAAAACTTGCACGAGCCAAGGCGTTGTGCGAGCCAAGGCGTCTTACCGAAGAACAAATCCAGTACATAGAGGAAGCTCGACTGAAACGGGCTCGCCAGGTCGACGAGGACGAGATTGCGCTCTCCCGGGCACGAATCTTGGCCGAGAAGTTAAGGACCGGCCCTGGAATTTTCGATGGTTGGACTGGAAACATCCGAGAGCCATGGCACGATCCAAACTGGAACCCCATTGCCCGAATCGTGGAAAAGTATCAAGCCCGCAATATTCCCCAGCCAACTTCCTATGTACCCCCGCGTCTGACACTCAATCGCTCCGCCAGAGGATACGAGGTCGCCTACGCACCTGATACCCCGGACCGACCTATGTCCAGAACCGAACAGCGTATCCGGCGCACTGGTGCCCGTGGGCTTGCACATGTGCCCCTGGATTTCGAACGCCACAGGCGAGAGAAAGAGGAGATGGCTAAGAGCAAGAATGGAAAGAAGGAGAATACGGATAAAGACAAGGATGAGGAAGAGAAATAGGGGTCTCCCTAGGGTGTTTAAGGGGATGCACTACGCTTTCCTCATTCCTCATGCTGTAATTATCTCATGGTGTATCTTGCACTGATTTATTCTGTTCTCATATGGGCCGTGGATCTAAGTGCCCGCCTACTCTCTCTCATCTCACATTTGCATTTTGCGGAGTCTTTATAATGATATCTTTTTCCTCAATAGACATTCACAGCGAGAATTTATTCATCTCTTCCAATTACTTTCTACTTTCTTTTTCTGTTTATTTACAGCCTGGTTTATAACAGGGGCGTTCAGTTACGACGGTAACACCATGTATAGATCTGCTATACTATAACAGTAGTTTTGTTGAACTACACCGTGATACTACATATACATCTCTAGACATACCCACCGACCCCATTTAGCTAGTAAAACTACACACAACAGTACAAGTGGCTAGGAATTGCTCCGGGGGACAATTTTTGTATGAGGCTGGTACGTGCACGACAAAAACACCATACAAAGTGGGCCACTTTGTAGAGACCCCGAGTGACTTTTGGGGAGGTCAATCCAAGTTGACTGTGTAGTAGATATAAGGATAGAAAATGATATACTGCACGACCATACAATCGGCACCTTCCAAAGCCGGAACCTTGGACGATAGACAATGCACAAGACATAATGCGGCATGTGACTAGACTAGCCAGCCAATCCTTAACCGCTACTTGCGACGCGAGCCTGGGATCCAAAACAAGCCATATTCGCTCGAAGTTCGGACAACACGCGATATGAACCAGTGTCAAAAAATGACGCGGAATCTTCTTAACATTCTCACGCGTCCCTTCAAGGCGTTTCGCCAGTCGCCCTGGGCATTATCGTCCGCCCTTCCATCCCGAATCGACGCGTCCTTGCTGGTTGAAGAGGAGAACTCCCCCTACTACGAACCAGCCTATTTTTATCCGGCGCGGATCGGTGAAATACTTAATGACCGGTATCAAATTGCGACCAAGCTTGGCCACGGAAGCAGATCGAGTGTATGGCTTGCAAGGGACCTTCACCAGTTCGTATTAGCCTAATCATATTTTAAGGTATTTATTGACAGTTTAGGTGGCGCTGGTCGAACGAGCGATATCTGGCTCTTAAAATTAACTCTAATAATTCCCACGCAAGGAAAGCTGCTGGTGACGTTGAGCTAGAGGTTCTACAGCTTATAACGAGAGCGAACCGTTAACATGAGGGCTGGCGTTTCGTTCGAAAATTACTTGACTCTTTTTCTGTCCAGGGAATCTCAGGGAGTCATGTATGTCTCGTCTTCGAGCCTTTACGTGAGTCACTGGGAAAATATTGCCAACGATGGCAAGATGGTGTGATGCCACCGGAGATTTTTAAAATAATACTCCAAGAAATACTCCAAGCGCTTGATTATCTCCACACTGAATGTCATATCATTCATACCGGTAAGAATTCTGATTTGTGTTAGTTAACAATATGGTTCTTATTCAGAAACAGACTTAAAGCCGGATAATATCATGGTACAACTGGAAGATCATGGGCTCTTATCCCAGGATGCTCGAGATGAGTTTGAAAACCCACTACCTCAGAAGCATTGTAATGATGGACGTATCATCTATCTATCCCGGAAGGACTATGGACCGCTGAAGAAAATCATCGGGCTGATTGAAGTCGTCGACTTTGATCTAGCAGTCCAAGGTGATATTCTTCAAGATGGCTGTATCCAGGCGGAGGTATATCGTGCGCCAGAGGTCATTTTTGACAGAGGGTATACGTATAGTGCTGATATATGGAGCCTGGGAGTTATGGTAAACAGTATTCCCCTAATACTAGCGCAGATAACTAACCATTGAATGAAGCTATGGGATTTTCTAGAAGGACGAACACTGTTTGAATCAGTTGATCCACACATCGTTGGAGACTATGATGACGCAACGCATCTTGCGTATATAACGTCGCTTTTGGGTCCTGCCCCTAAAGACTTTGTTCGCCGCGGCAAGAGGACATCGATATTCTATACGGCTGCTGGTAAGTAAGTCTTTCGATTAAATTATATAAACTAACACTGCATTTCAGGAACACTCAAAAGAGAAGACCTTGTGCCTAGTAACTTTAGCTTTGAAAGCACCATCTCAAAGTTTAATGGGGAAGAAAAGAGGATGTATATTAAGTTCGTCAACCGGATGATCAAATGGAACCCCGAAGAGCGAAGTACGGCGAAGGAGCTACTGCAGGATCCATGGCTTCACAACGATTATCCGCAAATATAGGCGGAGTATGCGGGACTGTGGAGTACTTCTCTGGGCCATTCTTTGACAACAACGGTATTACTAGGTTTCCTATTTCGAACGCATTATTCTCAGACCAATGAAACATCTTAGGCCGCTTCCTCCTTGAGGACCAGATCCCCGACCGCAAACTAGACGACACAGCTTCTTTTCTTGAGGAAGAGGAGAGGGAAGCATTTCTGGATTTCGTCAAGGGAATGCTTGTTTGGCATCATGATGCGAGAAAAATGGCAGGCGAACTGGCCGGGCATCCTTTTCTTCAACTAAGGTAAACAAGAGCCTGATTTCTGCGAGCGTTTGCTAGCGGAACGACTTGACTTCATGGTTGATCCCAGTTCGGCGATGCCATCAGATGACTGGTTGAAGCGTTATGATATCGATCTTGATCTTAGGCAACTAGGTGTCACCACTGAGTGTTCTACGGGCGACTCACCGCATATGTATGCCCAGGTGGATGACAACATTACATTTGAACCCTTCAGCTATTCATCCATGCCGACTCTCAAAAGTGAATTGAATGTTTACTTGGAAATGGTATATACATTGAGAAACTCCTCTTTTATAGACTGAGCAACATCACGACGTACAAGCACCGCTATAGCAGTTTGACCCAGAACAGTAGTCACTGGTACTTCCACAATAACCAGACGCGGAACAGCACGTCCCAAACTGGGTACCAGTGCAGGTCTTGTTTCCGGCAAAATTCGGGCCACATTCTCCATTTGTGGACGGGCCGCCATTATCAGTGTCACAACTGCCAGAATAGCAGTTCCCTGCACCACAATAGGTGGTACCATTGCCGCAGTAGCCCTGTGTCTATGATCAGCGACTGCAGTGAATAGGAGGGATGGTCATGAATGGATACTGCATCACTTACGTATATACTACAGCAGTTTCCGAACTTGGGAATACAAGTCGTGCCCCCATAATCAGGTCCACAGGTGCCGTCTTGCGTCGCGGTGCCGTTGCCTGTGCTGACACAGTAATCTGACCCGGTTCCGCAGTAGCCAAATGGCGAGCAGCAGTCGCCAAAGGCACTTCCAACACAGGTAACCCCCGCAGGGCACGTACCGTCCGTTGAGACTGTCTCAGGGGTGACAGGGGCGACGCATATGTCGTAATTAAGCCACAGGTTGCCGCAGGTGGAGTTAAGGTACGGGTTATACTCTTGCAACTGGCTAAAGTTCAGACCGAAGCGCAGGTCGATGGTAGAACAGTCGTCACCGGCTACAACGAGATAGTAGTTACCGCACTCGCTGATGGTTCCACTTTGGGTCGGGTAAGCCGCAGTGGCTGCTGTGTAGTAAGTAGGCTCGCTGGTCGCGCCAGGCGCCGTGATGGTCGCGTTGGGTTTAGGAAACGTTCCTCCAGGAGCACTTTTTTCTCGCCGAGTCTGGTTAGCATCACTCAATGCCGCAAATGCCTCTATTGTGTCCTTCTTGATCTTAGACTTACCTTTTACATACACGCTGTCCTGCTGCAATCCCTGAACAACTGCCCTGGATATTAGTATTCCAGCTAAGCAATTGAGCAGTGGTCACGGTGTAAGTCGAGTTGGAATATCTCGTGGCAAGGCCGTCACTATTTTCAGAGGACTTAGCACAGATTATGGTCTCGTGGCTTCAGGCAACCATTATGCCCTACATACCAACTTGGTGTATCCCAAACCGTATCGATCTCGCATGGACGGGGGAAACAGGTAGCCTCGTCGAAATAGCAAGCGTAATCCCCAGTGGCAACTCTAGCGTCACCTGTTGATATATTGTACCTAATTGCCGCATGCAGCGCATTAGAAATCAGCCAGCCCACCAACTATTGGGGGAATGCCATCCATACGTATCGCAAAGATCATTGCAGGTGAGCCAGTTTTGCAGCGGCTGCACCATTTGACCCAGACAAGTCGGTGTAGTTGTTGCGGAGGAACCTGTCGTCGTTACGCTGGTGGTGGTAGTAGCCGTTGCCGTCCCTACGTATAAGGTGGAGGCTGAAGTGCTGTAAGGCAGCGTTGTTGAGCAATTTGTTTGAACAAGGTTGAACTGATCGACTAAATAATCCGTGAAATTGGTAACTGGTAGCCAAGGATTCAGGAGACGTTGCCGATACAGATTCAAGAAACACTCATTGCAGAACTACGCCCAGTTAGTAGACAACCTCGATGGCACTGATGTACTTCATAGGGAGTTCACATACCAATTTCTCTTCATATATATTAGTTAGAGCGGACATGTCATCACTGATATCACCGACGTCAAAATCTGGATCGGCACATTCAGGCGCGACTGTGCTGTTGTCATCACCATCGGCGAAGCACATTGTTGGATCCCAACGGATATAGTCACTTCCTTGCCATGTCTGAGAGACCAGGAAACACCAATTTGATGAACTGTCCTTCATGCATACAAGATCGGAATTATAGGTAAATGTCAGTGGTAGCGCTCTCGCCTTGACCACGACATTGCCCTGGATTGTGGTCTCTTCTGCACAGACTGTTGCAACATTATCCTTCCAGAAACTAAGGGACGAGACACAGTCTGTCGTGCAGAGGTTCTCTACCTCAGCAGTCGCCCAGACTTTATTTATTAGCTTCGCTTCTTCGTTGGCAGACAACAACATGTTTGGACATAGCAGGCTTACAGTGGATGTCTGCCCCGTGTCCTAATAGGCTAATGGCGGTTTCATTGCAAGAGACGGTGGTGTTCCTGGTGAGGTGTTAAAGGGATAAGACATTTCAGGGAGACGGAACCAGAGGCAAGTACTCACAGTGCTGCAAGACACGTACTACTCAGAGAGAGCCCAGCAATCAAGGCGTCTGCATCATAGTTTTTGTACAGCGCAAAATCGGCCGCAGCCCAAGTTGTCCATGCCGTAAGCAGGACAAAACAGAGTCTCAAGAAGGAGAATAACATTTTGTCCATTGGGTAGGCAAGGAGCTATGATAATCGAATTGCTCTTTGCACGAGGATGGATTGGACGGCATGAGGAACAGGAATGTCCGGGCACTTTTCTCTCTTCCTCGCTACACGAAGGGCTGCTTGGAGTGCCCCTCCTCGATGAAGATGCTATCATTTATCCCGCCGGTTTCCCCCTGCATGATACAGGTACTAGGATATTTCGGGCAATTCGGAAGCTCGTACCTTGTGACTGCGGACTTGGTTTGCTTCCTGTTAGCCTGCACAAGGATACCGGAGATTAGGTGGCTGCTTACTCGGGATATCTCGTCTATTTAGTCACCGGCCCCGGAGGCCAGTCTCTTGCAGCCAATGGCCGAAGCGACATGTGAAATCTTCCCATAATTGACTGCTAGTACTTCGTTCAACTTGGGGGCCAAAGGAGATCTAAGCCAATCGGAATATAAATACCTTATCCAGAGCACACGTGCGGGGTTCCCACTCAGGAATATATCATTAAGCGAGCACTTGAGTAAACGGTCTAAGGTTACATCTGGGCTGCATAAGAGGTTTGAGGTAAACAATGTCAGATTTTAGTTAACTTTCGCAGATGCTTGTCATGGTTTTCGGTTGAACCGAGACCGAAGTTCTCCCGTACCTGCACGAGCCATCATATCATGGAGTTGATTGTGAAAGCAATTGACAAGCCGAAAGACCCAGAAGTGACGCTCCAGGACCTTATTTGGCCTAGTACTGCTCTTAGTATGGCTACTCCTCCTCCAAGCCTCACCTTCCGTCAGGTATTAGTCCGCTTTCCACAAGCCCCTCTATTTCCGCCCCGGGGCCGTCAAGAGAACGGATGAGTACGAGAACATCCCTGCATTCACGGTGGTCCAGATCTCCGCGGATTCTGCCTAATGGCCATGGACTTTGGACTTCAGCCCTTGGTGCAAGCCTCTGCAGGATCCTTCGGGGAAATAGCTTGTTTGGGCAATTTGGTGGTAGTTTGAGGAGTAGGATACCCCCTGGCGTGCATGCATCCACCATCACTTCAGTAATATGGATGGAAAATAAAGGGCGCTGGCGTGTGACCAGCTTCTCGTCTTCTTTGCCGTCATTTCCGCCCCCCTATCTGTGCCAAAAGAAATTGTACCCTGTCTTCTCCAGAGGCTGGAGGTTGTTGTGCCGTTGCTCCAAAGACTTCAACGACAAAGGTCAGAGTGGCTTTTGTTCATCAGTCCCTCATTGATACCATTTGCGTGTTGAGCTTTGGCAGCAGCTTCAATGCGAATCCTTCTGCCAGCGCTTCTTGCTCTCGCAAGTTGCGGGATTTCCCAAGGTCGTCAACAACCCCATGGGAAACGCAACCACGCGAAACCATTGCCAGAGTTCACTCCAGTGCCCCAATTGCCAAAGAACTCGTCTTCGGCCCTGCCGCCCCTCTACCAGCCCTATTCAAAGAACAAACCTAAGTTCGAAAACGAGGCCCTTATCCGGCAATTGTCTCAGCATCCAGGGCTAAGACTTGACCATCTTGACTCTGGCCCTGGCTCTATGCGCAAAAGAGACCTTCCCGTAGGCACTTGCGCACCTGGAGTACCTTGCACAAATGGAGCATGTTGTTCAAACACTGGCGTTTGTTCCTACGCCCCCTCGAGTTGCGGGGCTGACGTCTGCATTTCCAACTGCGACGCGAAAGCTCCTTGTGGGGAATACGCCAACCCCGATAACGCAACGTGCCCGCTGAACGTGTGTTGTTCGCAATATGGATTTTGTAAGCCTCAGATTCGCTTGGAAATTTCTCATTTTTGAGAGCAGATGCTGACCCTTATTTTACCCCCCAGGCGGCAGCACTGATGACTTCTGTGGCACTGGTTGTCAGGAGGGGTTTGGCGGCTGTGGAGCAGCTCCGACTCCTTCTTGCTCTAGTGGTAGCAACTCTGCGGCTGCGCGGCGCATCGGGTACTACGAGAGCTGGGCGACCGAGCGGCCATGTGATGTTTTTACACCTGAAGACCTCGAGCTGACGGGTCTGACGCACATCAATTTTGCTTTCTCATACTTCGACCCATCTACTTTCCAGATCTCGCCGATGGACGGAAATGCGGCCACACTTTATTCGCGCTTCACGGCGCTTAAGGCAAAACAGCCAGGACTGCAGACGTGGCTATCAGTTGGCGGCTGGTCTTTCAATGATGCAACGAATACGCCAGACACACAGAATGCTTTCAGTAACATGATCAGCTCCTCGGCAAATCGCCAAGCCTTCATCACTTCCCTGCGCAATTTCATGCAGACATACGGCTTTGACGGCGTGGACATTGACTGGGAATACCCTGCTGCCGACGATCGAGGCGGTGTCCCAGCCGATTTCTCCAATTTCCCAACCTTCCTGGCTGAATTGAGGGCCTCGTTCGGTAGCGGATTGGGAATCAGTACTACACTTCCATCTTCATACTGGTATCTTCAGCATTTTGACGTTCTGGACATGGAGCCTAGCGTCGACTGGTTCAACTTCATGAGCTACGACATCCATGGCGTCTGGGACTCGAGCAACAAGTTCACGGGGCCTTACCTCCGCCCGCACACCAATCTCACTGAAATCAACGACGGCTTGTCCCTGCTGTGGAGGGCCGGAGTTAACCCATCCAAGGTTGTGCTTGGGCTGGGCTGGTATGGGCGCTCCTTTACGCTCGCTGATCCGTCTTGTACCACGCCTAACGGCGTATGTCAGTTCACCACCGGCGGTACTGCGGGAGAGTGCACACGGTCATCCGGGACGCTTTCCAACGCCGAGATCAAACGTCTTCTAGCGGCCGGAACGGGAACCGAATCATATGATGCCACTGCAGGAGTCCGCTGGCTCACCTTTGATACGAACCAGTGGGTAAGCTTCGACGATGGAGCGACAATGCAGCAGAAGCTGGCCTTCGCTAATAGCCTGTGCCTTGGGGGTATCATGATTGTAAGAGACCACTTTTTACCACAGTCACCAATTGCCTTCCTTCGTTTCTTATTTTTTTCTTTGCCCTCTCTCTCACTCTTAACACCATTTTCCTTTCTTTTTTTGGAAAACATCTAATCAAGGCTTTCTTCCAGTGGTCGATCGATCAGGACAACACAGCTGGCGACAGTATGAACGACTTGATGGGCATCGGTACAGCAAATGGGGTGTCAGAGGCAGCTGCCGCTTCATTCAAGGAGCAGATGGCTAATGCTACGCTGCAGAACGCTGTTGTATCGAGCTGCTACTGGTCACTATGCGGAGGGGCCTGTACGACCGGGTATTTTGATGTAACTGATGCCCGCGGCCAGATTGCCGGCTTCCAGCAGAACTCCGTATGCCCTCCAGGCGAAGCCCAGACACTATGTTGCGCCCCAGGAACCTCGATGGGCACCTGTCAATGGGAGGGTTTCAGGGGCGTGGGAATGCCTTGCTCACCGGCATGCTCTGACCCCAAGGCCACCATTGTCGCCCGTAATACCAACTCGTACGAGATGAACGATGGAGGTCAGCTTGAAGATCTGACTTGTACTGGTGGCTTCCAAGCATATTGCTGCACGGAATTTGTCCCTTCGTCGATCACCAATTCAGGCAACCTCTTGCTCTATGGCCAGACTCCTGTGCTCAGCAAGCGAGACGGTTCTAATCATGGCCTCAGTCTCTATGTAGGCGACCACGCGGTTGAAAAGCGTTCTTTACCCTTGCTAGTCTCCGGGTTGGGCGCTCTCTGCCTCGCTGACTTGCTCCCATCGATCCTTTCAGCACCGTTGACTTTTGGCCTATCTCTTGCCGCGGAGGGGGCAATATGCGCCGCTACGGCCGCTGCCGTCGTCGCTACTGCGGCCATCATCGGCTTTTCAATTCTTTACAACCTGGTTGGGTGGATTTTCGGCGGATCCCCATCTAAACCCAACGTTGGCGTCCCAACAACAGTAGCGGGCCGGTCTTCGTATGGCCAGTGGCCGATTCTCGACTTTAGCGGCGGCACCACGACGAGTACCTGCGATTGTGTGGTCACATATACGTGCCGCTATGGCATGGGTTGGGATGAGATTTGTGATAACCAAAGGTGGGGGATCGACAAGCTGCTCAACGGAAAGACTGTCTATCAGCCATTGCCAACGAGCCGCGCTGCCGGTGCTAACCAAGGACTATGGAAAGGCCAGCGCATAGAGGCATACCGAACCGCGGCCCAATTAAAGCTCCCAGGCAAAACGTGGCGATGTCAAGTTGATGAGTTTCCTATGGGCAACCTCGCGGAATCAGGAAATAACGCCCCGCAGGCTTGCCGTCTAGTCAACGGCCCTGCGAATGCAAAACAGGGAAATGATTACAAGATGTGGAAGTCGGCGCAGTGGAAACCTTGCTCGACATACCGCTCTGCCGTGTGCAACAGTAGGGACAGTGGGCCGCCTGCAACCTGGTATGTAAAACCGAAGCTTCCCTCATGCGATCATATCTGACCTTGAAACAGGGCGTTTGGGGTGCTACCCGCGGGTCGCGGTAGTGGCAGTGGAAAACACTTCATAGATGCTTATGGTTTCGACGAGCAAACGGCCGGCTCGCTTTGCTGGGCTACATACACTTACACCGAGCAGCCTGGAACTATCAGCACCTCCACGCCTGTCGACCATGGCTTCCGCGTTCTTGATGATGATCCGTATGTTTCCATCTCCCAACTTTACTAGGTAGTCAATGTATAGCTGACAAGACGATGTTGATAAGCATGTACGGTAACGCCTATGGGTGGCCTCGACAGTCCTGGCGCATCGATCCAGCTCCATTAGCGAACATGGCAGACCGGCCGTATGACTCCCAACCGACAATATTCCAAAGAGGCCTTCTCGCCAACGACACATGGCCCGAGGAGCATAGCGACCCCGCTGGCGTCTGCCACGCTGACCTCAGATCACTTGGCGATGACAAACAGGATGCTTATCTCGACCTTGATTATGATAATCTCCTCTTTGTCGATCTGGATGGCAAACCTGTCGACGGTCGGACATGCAATATCATCTACGAG